GTTAATTGAGGTTCCTCTCCCCCCCTTTTTTTTTTCTTTCTTCGCTCTTTCTCCAAACCTCTTGTTTACCCCCCCCTTCACACACCAAGCTGCAGCAAATTAGAGACCTTTATTAGTACTTTTTCTGCCATCCACTACAACGTCTACTAAACCCACATCTGTACGAACCCAGCATACACTTTCTGTGGCATCTCTTAATGCAAGAGGTCTAAATATACCTGAGAAACGCTCACAACTCCTGACTTACATGAAAAGCCTGCGAGCAGTTGTGCTCTTCACCAAGAAACTCACTTTTGGGATCATATCCCTAAATTCTCCAAAGCTAATTACCTGACATTCTACAATGCAGTTAACACAGAGGTGAAAGCAAAAGGTGTGTCCATTTTGATCTCCAAACAACTCCCGCTCACAATCACTGATTCTCTCGAGGATCCTGAAGGAAGGTTCCTCTTCCTTAAAGGCACCCTTTACAACAAACCGCTTACTCTAGCCAACATTTACAGCCCCAATACGGCACAAGTGAGCTTTTTCCATAACATTTCTAAAACATTTGGAACATTTCAATCGGGTATCCTGGTTCTTGGGGGTGATTTTAATGTATCATTGAATCCATTGGAAGACACTTCGACAGGCTCTTCATCGAAACCCTTCCGAGCACTTAAACAGATTAAACTTGAACTGAACAACCTTCTCCTCCATGATACATGGCGTACCCTACACCCCTCTTGACAGAAACTACACTTTTTTCTCCGCACCTCACAATCGTTATTCCAGAATCTATTTCTTTCACAAAAAGACTCACACACATTAAAGTCAGCCTCTATTGAACCAATGATTCTTTCTGATCATCACCCGATCATGATGCCCATACATCTTCCCAATGCCCCACCTATGTCCAAAATGTGGAGACTAGATCCCTTTCTCCTTACGGACTCATCCATTACCTTTCAAATTCGTGAATCTTTGACCAATTACTTCAAAGAAAATTTGTCCCCAGAAACAACACCTCTCATTCAATGGGAAGCACACAAATGTGTGATACATGGGCTCCTTTTTCAATTACTGCTTTACAAAAACGCATAGCTCAGGCATCTCCGGCTTACTATCGTCCAATCTCCCTCTTGAAAGTTAATCTAAAGATTTTCGCCAAAATACTAGCCAATCGTCTACTACACATCATAGACCCCATTATATCCACTGACCAGGTAGGGTTTGTACCTGGTAGAGAGGCAAGAGACAATACGATCAGGGCAATAAATGTGCATCATTGGTTGACACAGAAGAAACAATCAGGCTTTTTCCTCTCTCTAGACGCTGAGAAGGCCTTTGACAGGTTGGCATGGGACTACATGGAGGCTGTACTGATTGGCCTTGGGCTTCCTCCACGTCTCTTGAATTTTATCATATCTTTGTATACAACACCAACGTCCAAAGTGAGAGTCAATGGCCTCCTTTCAGCCGCCTTCTCTATTAGCAATGGAACCAGACAGGGATGTCCATTATCCCCCCTCCTGTTCATTCTTACTTTGGAACTTTTTTGAACTGCATTAAACGGAATGACAATATCAAAGGAATTTTAATCAATGGCAAAATACACAAAATAGCTGCCTTTGGTCAGGCAGGCAAAAACAAAAACTTTCCTTTCGCATAGCAGTCTGAGGCCATCATGTACTTAGGAATCCAATTACCGACTCACCTTACAGAACTCTATGCCAAAATCTTTTTACCCATTTTACGTAACATCATCAAGGATCTACAGACATGGGACAAACCTTTTTTTCTTGGTTTGGCAGAGCAGCTATTCTTAAAATGAACGTGCTTCCCAGATTACTATACCTGATGCAAAACAATTCCAATCAAACTACCCAATTCTTTCTTTAAGTCTTATAAAATACTATGTACCTCTTTTCTATGGTGTAATAAACGCCCCAGAATTGGTTTTGAACAACTTACCATGCCTAAGACGGGAGGAGGTATTGGACTGCCTGATATTACCCGTTACTACAGAGCCTGTCACATGGCAGGAATAGTAGATTGGTCTACGAACCGCAACCGTAAGGCTTGGGTAACTTTGGAAGCTGCATTTTCGCCACTTCCCCTTGGCTGAAAAATTCCTACATCCTGTCTGAGTTCAGGGAACACCTTCTTATAGATCCTACTTTAGCGTGTTATCATATGTTAAGTCAGAAAACAGGTTTTTCTTCAACCCCTGGTCCACTCACTCCTATCAAAATGAACCCTGACTTCCCCCCTGGTATGTCTCGTGCCTTTCCCGCCGGGTCTAGCCCCCAGACAATTTGAATCTGCATCAACTCTTCAAAGATGGGAAATTCTTACTCAGAGATCACCTTTTAAACAAATGGCCATCCCTAACCCTGACGCCGTGGCTGCATAGACAGCTCCAACACTTTATACATAGCTCATCACACCTAAAAGATTACACTAGACCACTCACCCCATTTGAAAAACTATGCTCAACCGACTCTCCCCAGAGACATGTCGCATCTAAGCTCTACACATGCCTCGAAAACACAATTGACCTTCCATCTAGGAAAGCCTGCAAGGCCCGGAGCTCTGACCTACAACTCCAACTATCGCCAGAAGACTGGGATCACATTTATGAACATATACATAAAGGTTCCATATGTGTCTCCACACAAGAAAACAATTTTAAACTATACTCTAGATGGTACAGAGATCCGTCCCTGCTTCACAAATTTGACCCTAACATTTCAGATTCGTACTGGAGATGCCACCAGGTGACGGGTACACTATTGCATATCTGGTGGGACTGCCCACTACTGCAATCTTTCTGGGGGAAATTTCAACTAATAATCACGCAAGTAACTACGTACTCCTTAGACCTCTCCCCCGCACAATTCTTGCTCCACCACTCCACACTTCCATTTCGGACGTACCGTAAATCACTCGCCAGGCACATGGTAAACGCGGCAAAACAATGTATCCTAGTTCACTGGCGCACAATACATGTTCCCACTATTCGAGAATGGTTTGCTAGGATCAACAAAATTGAGGAAATGGAGGAACTGATTTCTGTAGCAAAAGACCATCCTGAGAGATTCAGGAAGACATGGGCTTGTTGGAGTCATTTCAAAACCACTACCACCTATCACCTACATGAACAGCTTACACCCCCTGACTAAATAATTGAATACAATGTTATGTCATACGACACCCTATCGATCTGTGACGCATTTTGATGCACATTTAGACGGATTGGGTTTCAACATCATAACCTACATTTCAGGTTTTTGACCCACTTATTAACTCATTGGATGATCTCGCACATATTGACTCCTAGGCTAAGTAGCGATCTTTCTGGCTCGTATAGAACAAAGTGAATTATTTCATTTGCACTGCCCCTTCCAACATCCCCTCTACCCCACACCCAGTCCCCCCCCCATTTTTTTTTTTTCCTTTTCTCCTCTCCTTACATCCCCCCTTACTACCTCACTCTGTATCTCCTTTTCTATCTTATTATCTTTTCATCTCTCTGATTCCTCTTTCCCTCACACCTTTTGTATGAGTTCATAAATCATATATCCCCAACAAAATATAACACGTAATCTCTCATACAGGTGTGATTAGACTCACATAGATCACACTTTCCCGAAACGGGCACACAAATTATAACGCACTTATCAACATGAGCTATCATTTCCCAGCACTTCACACCCCTCCAACATGAGGGCCTACAAGTAGATAGGGGGTAATTATTACACCTATAATGATTTACCTATTGCACCATTTGTATCTGCTGGTTTGCTGTACATTTTTGGATATAAAGTTATATCTCACTATGATTTTTAACACAATTCAAACTCATAGCCCGTCTGCGAAACGGGATGCTGCATATTGTGTCTATGTTCGGACTGTAACCCATATTTGTATTCAGATTCATCTGCCTTAACTCTTCCAATAAGATTATTTTTGGAAAAAAAAATGGACTGTAATGCGTTTCTGCAAACCGCAAGACTGCAGAAAACTCTTAGGTGTGAACCTAGAGTTAGAAAGATTACCTACAGTATGTGCACATTTTATTACAAAAGCAACCATTCAAAAAATACAATCCACTGGGTCCACTGCTCATCTCTATCACCTATTTAGTCAGTTTTTGTGTTGGACTTGTAACTTCAAGTAAAACCTACTTCAAGGGATTTTTGGTGTTTGGGCCATTTTGGAACATAGAGTTGTAAGGTAGCGCCATGGGTTGTGCACTTAAATATTTTGGCTAGGAGGTATGTTTACATATTGATTTACCAAATGTCTTTACTACTGTCTGTGTTCTGTTGGGGACGAAATACTTCAAAAACGTTTTGCTGAAGTTTACCTTTAACGATTAAATTGCGAAACTACAAGTCCCATCATGCCTCTGCATTTGGGAGTCATGCTTATAACTGTCAGTGGGGAAAGAACAAAAAGAGGGCGCACAGGCCTAGTGCATTACCATAAAAAATGTTTATTAAAAAATAATAAAGTAGGTGTTGTACTCAAACGACAATATAGTCAAGGCACATCATAAAAGAACAGCTGGATCAACACCGCGCTGAGTAACAGTCCGCAATAGGGAGTTTAGACATCCAAAAGGTTGACGCGTTTCGAGGACTTGCCTCTTCCTCAGAGCCAACTGACCAAATGTACTTGACTATATTGTCGTTTGTGAGTACAACACCTACTTTATTATTTTTTATTAAATATTTTTTATGGTAATGCACTAGGCCTGTGCGCCCTCTTTTTGTTCTTTCCCCATTCAGTATATTTGGATTCCCCCGGTCCATTTGAGGGCAGCAAGGTGTGCATGTTCCAGGACATTCTTAATGTGGTTGTAGCATCGAGTCCATCCCCAAGCGCAGGAGCATTTGTGTTTTGCTGGTTATAACTGTCAGTCTTGCAATGTCTCATGGGACTTGTAGTTTCGCAACAGTTGGCGGGCCACAAGTTTGACACCTGATTGATCTATAATGGTTCCTTTTTTGAAGACTGCAGTGAATGTACATCAGTGATGTATGAAACTTATCAGATGGAGGCTGTCAGTGCAGTTCGAAGTGTTGAAGATCGTCTCATCAATATGGGTTCTTCTGATCAGGTAGTCCATATTGTCACAATTGCTGCATTCCATGTGTATTTACATATTAACCACTTGCCCTCCAGAGGATTTACCCCCCCCACTCCCCCCTTCCTGACCAGGCCATTTTTTGTGATACGGCGCTGCATTACTTTAACTGACAATTGCAGGGCCATGCAACGCTGCACCTAAATTAAATTTATGTCCTTTTTTCCTCACAAATAAAGCTTTCTTTTGGTGGTATTTGATCACTTGTGCGGTTTTTTTTGCACTATAAACAAAAAAAAAAGACAATATTTTGGACTTTTTTCTATGAAGCATATCCAGTACAAAAATTTTAAAAAATCAAATTTCGTCATAAATTTAGGCCAAAATGTATTCTGCTCCATGTCTTGGCAAAAACAAAAATCACAATACGTGTAAATTAAGTGGTTTACATGAAAGTTATAGTGTTTACAAATGGAGGTATAGATAATGGATTTTTTTTTTTTTGGTAAAGGCGGCGATCAGCAACTAATAGAAGGACTGCGGCGGGCATTCTGACACTGGGGGGGAACTGACTTGGTGTCGCTGACATCCCCAGTGATACCAATGCAATGATCAGTGCTAATAAAAAGCACTGACACTGTACTAATGACACTGGGCAGGAAGGGGTTAACATCTGGGGTGATCAAAGGGTTAACTGTGTGTTGTTTCTCTGTGTGTGCTTTTTTGTAAGCTCACTGCTTTGTATGGCTCTGCTATGCAGTGTGCAGGAGCTGACAGGGGAGACATCTGTATTCTTTACGTACAGGTCTCGCCCCCCTATTGGAGATGCTCGGCGATCACCGGATTCCATTGAGCAATCACCGGCGGAGACCCGCTGATTGACACTCAAGGCCGCGAATGGCGGCGCGGGTAGGGCGAATGCGCGCATCCTACCCGGAACGGCAAAGTCACGTATATATATGTGATTTTTTGCACCTGTGCCGCCCTGTAGCAGTATTTCTGATATAGGACAGTGTGGAACCGATTAAATAAGGTTTTGTTATGATCATTCTCATAAACCTTTCCATTGTAAGTTTGTCATCATTATGATCAACAAATAAGATGGAATCATTTAAAATTACAATTTTTTAAAAAAACATACCCTTTTTTTTTCCTCTTTTTACAGCAAGCGGATTCATCTGACTATGTGAGTGGAGGTACAGAGGAATTCCTGAAAGGTAAGTAAAATGATTAACACATAAATGGTAATTTGCACATCTGCATAATGATGTTTTGAATCTGTACTCTTGCAATTCTCTGCTCAAAAATTTTAGCTATTTTAATTACTTAAGATAATCCTTTCTTTACTAAAATGATCACTAAATTCACCCCCTCCTTATCAGCATACACTGCACTTACCGTTCAGCGTTCCTACATTGCCATTCAACTGACAGGAGTGACATACCCAACACTTTCTTGCATCTGAAAGCATTGGTCCCCCACGATTGGCCCACTGCTGTCACATGACTGGGGAAGGGGTCCGTACCCTTGTGTAAGGTCAGATGAGCCAGTTTGGAGGAAAGGAGGGTTTATGCTCTTTTAACCACTTCATGTCCGGACACTTTTACCCCCTTCCTGCCCAGGCCAATTTTCAGCTTTCAGTGCTATCACACTTCGAATGACAATTGCGCAGTCATGCAACACTGTGCCCAAATGAATTTTTTAGCATTTTTTTTGAGACCGATAAAACTTTATTTTGGTGATATTTATTCACCTCTGGGATTTTTATTTTTTTGCTATATAAATTAAAAAGTCCAAACATTTTGAAAAGTGTTTTTATTATAAAATTTGGCAAATAAATAATCTTTCTTCATAAATTTTGGCCAGAATGTATTCAGCTATCTTTTTTTAGTAAAAAATAAATAACCCAGATTAGTTTATAATCAAAAATTATAATTTAAAAAAATATTTTTTTTTATTTATATATATATATATATATATATATATATATATATATATATATATATATATATATATATATATATATACACAGTTGCAAGAAAAAGTATGTGAACCCCTTGGGATTACGTGGAGTTTTGCATGAATTGGGCATAAAATGTGCTCTGAATGTCATCTAAGTCACAACAATAGAAGAACACAGTCTGCTGAACATAATACTACACAAACATTAGATGTTGCCATGGTTTAATTGCACATAATATGTAAACATTCACAGTGCAGGGAGGAAAAAGTATGTGAACCTTTGGACTTAATAACTGGTTGACCCTCCTTTGGCAGCAATAACCTCAACCAAACGTTTCTTGTAGTTGCAGATCAGACCTGCACAACGATCTGGAGTAATTTTGGACCACTCCTCTTCACAAAACTGTTTCAGTGTAGCAATATTCTTGGGATGTCTGGTGTGAATCGCTCTCTTAAGGTCATGCCACAGCATTTCAATCAGGTTGAGGTCAGGACTCTGACTGGGCCACTCCAGAAGGCGCATTCTGTGCTGTTGCAGCCATTGTTTTGTTGAATTACTTGTATGCTTTGGGTCATTGTCCTGTTGCATCACCCATCCTCTGTGGAGCTTCAGTTGGCGGACAGATGGTCGTACGTTTTCCTGCAAAATGTCTTGCTAAACTCTGGAATTCATTTTCCCATCAATGACAACAATCCGTCCAGGCCCTGAGGCAGCAAAGCAGCCCCAAACCATGATGCTCCCTCCGCCATGTTTTACAGTGGGGATGAGGTTTTGATGTTGGTGTGCTGTGCCTTTTTTTCTCCACACATAGTGTTGTGTGTTCTTCCCAAACAACTCAATCTTGGTTTCATCTGTCCACAGTATATTTTGCCAGTAGTGCTGTGGAACATCCAGATGCTCTTTTGCAAACTTCAAACGTGCTGCAATATTCTTTTTGGACAGCAATGGCTTCCTCCGTGGTGTCCTCCCATGTACTCCATTCTTGTTTAATGTTTTCCTTATTGTAGATGTGTCAACAAAAATGTTAGCATGTGCCAGAGATTTCTGTAGGTCTTTAGCTGACACTCTGGGATTCTTCTTTACCTCATGCAGCATTCTGCGCTGTGCTCTTGCAGTCATTTTTACAGGATGACCATGCCTAGGGAGAGTAGCAACAGTGCTAAACTTTCTTCATTTGTAGACAGTCTGTCTTACCGTGGACACATGAACATCAAGGCTTTTGGAGATACTTTTGTAACCCTTTCCAGCTTCATGCAAGTCAACAATTCTTGATTGTAGGTCTTCTGAGAGCTCTTTTCTGTGAGGCATGGTTCACATCAGACAGTGCTTCTTGAAACCAGTAAACCCAAAACAGGTGTGTGTTTTTTAAGGGCAGGACAGCTGTCAACAACACATCCAATATCATCACACTGATTGGAGTCAAGGTTGGCTCACTCCTGGCTCCAATTAGCTCTGGGAGAAGTCATTAAGCTAGGGCCTCACATACTTTTTCCTCCCTGCACTGTGAATGTTTACATGTTATGTGCAATTAAACCATGGCAATATCTAATGTTTGTGTAGTATTATGTTCAGCAGACTGTGTTCTTCTATTGTTGTGACTTAGATGACGTTCAGAGCACATTTTATGCCCAATTCATGCAAAACTCCACGTAATCCCAAGGGGTTCACATACTTTTTCTTGCAACTGTATATATATATATATATATATATATATATATATAAATATATATATATTTAATATACTGTCACCCTAGCAGTACAGTGTCATCATACTACTTGTGGGGGTGATGATTTTTTTTTTTATACTGATTGCTTTTACACCCATATAGGCTGTAAAAGCAATCATTTCTCATTCTCTCTGGCTGCATTCCTGCAGCCATTGAGAAATACTGAGAGAGCTGTGGTTGGTCAAAGCTTGTCACATGGTACAAGGCTGTTGTGAATAGACTTGTACCATATGACCTCTGTGATCATTCACAGATTTCAGTCGTAGTAAGCAATGATGTCAGCAAGTGACATCTTGTTTACTACTATTCATGTGATCACCAATGTGATTGGCCAATCAGTGATCACATGAATCGGGAGCTCACACAGAGGTCCCATACAGCGATCGGTGTTCCGTTGTGTCTGGAGGACAAAGCGGGCACCGGATCGCAGTGCCACGCGCTCCCAGGAAGCGCGCACAGACAGTGAATGCGGAGTCCTTTTATAAACGGCCACCCGCTCCTGCATTGCTCCCGTCCGGCCCTTTATGTACATGGGCCTGATGGGAAGTGGTTAAGGAAGGGGGTTTAGGGAAAGCGTCACTTTACTGACAGATCTAGACTACAAATTATCAGAACGCATATATTTTATTCATTTGACAGCACTGCTGGAGCCCCCCTAAAATTCTGCTCTTTCCTTTTCTGCTCTCCTACAGCACATGGGGCCTGAGCAACCATGACATATGTCTATGCAGGGAGAATTGAAGTGCAGGATGTGTTCAAACCAATGTATATTCCAACTTTTTAGAAAGCCAGGATTTGCATGAAAACTTCTGAATGCTCTAGTAGCTTTGTGCAAGGGATCATTCTGACATGACTAATAACTATGGCCTTATGGGTAGGTTTCGCCAAAACGTTCCTTTCAAATTTGCATGGAGTACAAAAGGGTTAAATACCCATGTCTGGTTGTTTTTGCTGTCTGTGTCCCATTGGGAGATTTCCCTTAAATGCTTGCACTGGAGGTGACAGGAAATTGCTACAAAATGAGCAAAATTACCCTCTTAGGCTGGATTCACACTTGAGTATAACCTCTCTGAGCCTTTTTCATGCAATTTTTTTTCTGTGCATTTTTTTGTGTTTTTCATGCAGAGTTATTTAAGCATTTTAGAGCATTGGAGTTTATTAGCCAATAGAGAAAAATATCATTTGTTGCATCATTTGTTGCTAGGTTTTTCAGCTTTTTTTAGCTTTTCCATCAGCTTTTATTTTTGTATTATTATTATTTTTTTTATGGCAAAGGGTTTAGAGTTAAGGTTAGATTAGGGATAGGGGTTAAGTTTAGCGGCAGGAGTTAATATTTTATTTGTTTAATTATTATTTTTTTGTTGGGGTTCAGCTGGCCATACACATATAGATTTTTGGATGAGAATATTCGTACGAAAAGTCGTATGGAAATTCTTTGAAAATTTGGTGAATGGACGAATGTCGATGAAATTTGTCTTTTGCTTTTAACATTCGAGTTTAATATGCATGTAATTTCTGAACAATAACCACATATACTGGCCCAAATTCATTTGATCGAGGAAAGTTTTCCTTCCTGCCCCTTCAAATTTTCTTGTCACAGCTGTTGAAAACAAACATCGATTTGATCGCACTAATGATTAGAAAATCAAACGAATATTCTTGAAATGAAAATTCTCAAACGAAAATCTATACTTTAGCCAGCTTGTTTATTGATTATTAATAAATAATAAAAATAATGTATTTTTTTGTTAGGATGTTTGTGTTTATTTTTATTTATTATTATTAATATTATTATTATTATTACTATTACTATTATTTATTTTTTAGGGTTGGGGTTTAAAGTTAGGGGTTAATTATTATGTATTTATTATTTCTGATTATTTTTATTCATTTTTGTATTTATTTTACAATTAATTATAAACGCTCCAAAAACATGTGACAACGCGCATACCATGTGCTTCATTTATTTCTATGGAATTAAAAATGCTCAAAATCGTGCAAATCTGCCCGATTTGAGTGACAAAAACCTCCAGAACTTGTTTGAGCTTCAGGTGAGTTGAAGTGGAGATGTAAACCATCTCCATCGAGAATCATTGATTCTTTCTCCTTAAGCGCTTTGGACCTTCAAGCTACAAGTCGCTCCGGTGTGAATAGAGCTTTAGACATTTTGTCACCAAAACCGATGTCTCCATTGGAAGATTTAACCTTACCTCTTTCTGTAGTGACAACTCTAGCATTTTTCCTCTCATTTTCTGTCTCGGTGACAGTGGTCACCAGGACAAATAGAAGGGTACATTGTCTCCAACTGGGACACAGATCTGAAGTAGAAACTTAGTAGAGTGTCTAACACTATCCAAAATTTCAAAAAAAATTGCCTTTACGGTTACAAAATTTAATTATTTAGGAACTATGTTCACTTATCTTTTTAGAAACAGATTGCACTATTCAGTACATCATGTATATTCCTTCATATTTTAGCCTTAGAAAATGGAGGCGTGAGTCAAGATTCTCAACATTCAGATTCAAAAACATCTGGAGAAGATACAAAGGTAAGATGAAAACACATCGAGAACTCTCACCAGGCTATAGTAGGTAATAGGAAGGCTGTTAGTGCCCAGTTTACATCTCTGGAATCAGACTTCCGAAGGTAAAATGGATTTTTACACTGAGTTTCACAGCTTCTATCTAAGGATTGGTAGAGAGCTTTTTCATGAGAGGGTACAGGGAAGAATGTACGATGTCCTTTATGTATAGGCACTGTTAGATAGGATAACACAAGATATATCACTAGTCATTTTAGCCAGAAACAAGTTGTCTAATTTTCTGTAGTAGTAAAGGCAGCCTTGTTATTGGTTCCTTTTTGACTTACAAGCATGACTACATACAGTAATGTAGTATGTTAGCCGTATTGCAGAGTTGATGCTAGACTCTGACACCCAGAGCACATACCCATGGTCTTCTACTGAGTGCCCTGGGTCTCCTTTGCACTAAGTATTGCCATCATGCCAGGTATTATCCTGTTGACAACCAAACTTCAATCTCTGAACTTTGCTTCTAAGATTGTTTGTATATTGTAAATCCATTCAATACACAATATATATTTTTTGAAATCTTTTTATTTTCGGTCATATATATTAGCGATACAGTTATGACCATTTAAGTTCAAAGCACTTTTTAAGATAAAAATGATTACAAGGTATGACAATTTAATTCCTGGAATGGGCTCTATTAAAAAAAAAAAAACATTTGCTCACTCAACTGTTGTCACCTTCAAAGTCACTTTTCTAAGTGACTGTGCCACTGCTGGAAAAAATCCCAAAATTCACTTTCCGGAACGCTGCGCAGTAGCTTTGTTGCGGCGCACTGGATGTCCAGAATGTCATCAAACCTGTGTCCTTTTAAGGCATTTTTAAATTTTGGAAACAGCCAGAAGTCTTGAGGTGCTAGAACAGGGGAATAACGTGGTTGGTCAAGTTTTAAAATGGATTTCTGGGCCAGGAAATCACAAACACTTAACGCATCATGTGCAGGAGCATTGATATGATGGAGAATCCACTTGTCAGGCCAGAGTTATGGTCTTTTTCCTCCGAACAAATTTCCATAACAGATTTTCAAGTAACAATGTTGGTTGACATTTGGACCACGATCTCTGCACTCGTAGTATACTATCCCTTTGTGATTTAAAAAAAAAACACACCAGCATGGTTGTGAACTGAGAAGAAGACATGCGTGCTTTCTTCGGGTGAGGTGTCCATGTTTGCATCCATCCTTTGCATTTTTGGCTGTCCACTTCTGGCATCATCATGGACATCTTCCCATCCCTCCTTAAACCGCCTATGCCATTCAAAAACACTTGACTTCTTCATGGAATGTTCACCATAAGCCAGCTGTAACAGAGCTAAAGTTTCACTCACACTTTTGCCAATTTTCATGCCATATTTTATGTTCATCTGCTGCTCCAGATTTGGCACTCATTTTCTGCCAACAGCACAATGCACACACGTGTTTTTCTTCTACTACTCGGTTAACCCTTTGAGGACCAAGGGACATATTTGTCCCATGTTTTTAATTGCGTGTATCATCTGATTAAGAACTTAAAACTCTTTCTTTTTCTTTTTTTTGATTTGAGTCAAAATATTAGTTCTTATCAACAACAAATGGATCTAGCTTTTTGCCAATTATTTCATGAAATGGCTTAGTTACAGCAACTGAAGTGTACGAACTTTAAAAACAAAAAAATTGATTCTTTTGGCGTTCCAAAATCTTACGGTCCTCAAAGGGTTAAGACTGAGTCAACTGGTCTGCCACCCAGGCCAGTGCAAGTTAGAACAAGTCAGAATAAGCTGAGTGTGACTGGCTGTCTGACTCACCACCACAATTCTATACTGTGGGCATTCCAGGAATTCAGTTGTCACACCTCGTATATTAGACCCAAATTCAACCCAAAGACCAATGACAATCATTCCAAAACTTACGATTGCAAGACATTCTAAGGTCTGGGTAGCCTTTTTTTTCCTCGGGCCTGGGTCCTAATTCAGGAAAAGCCATAATACTAACTGCTCAGTTCTAAGGGATTGCTTTAGGAAAGGGAAACAAAAACTAGGAAGACAGCAAAAAGAAATGAGAAGGGATGAGGAAGAGATGGGATGGGGGGACAAAAATACTGTCTCTACTACTTTTTGTCATGGCTTGCTTCAAATACCACAACTGTCAAGCATAATTCTATACTGTCGGCATTCCTTGAATTCAGTATCACACCTTGTATATTAGACCCAAATTCAGCCCAAAGACCAATGACAAGCATTCCAAAACTTCAGCTTGCAAGACATTCTAAGGTCTGGGTATCCTTTTTTTTTTCCTCGGGTCTCCACTACTTTTTGTCATGGCATGCTTCAAATCCCATAACAGTCAAGATGGCCAAGGGTGCCTTGAGTCTTTTAGGACACTAGCAATGTCCCTGCATAATAAAAACAAACTGAACTAACTATATTCTGATATTGATTTTGCTAGTAATGGAGTGCATAAATGCATTGAATGTTTATGCTAACTTCTTTTTGCCTTGTAGGCTTTTTGGAATGTTGAAGACACCAATAAAAACAAAGAAAATATTTGCTCCAGCACAGGTCTGTAATCCTTTATGTACTGTAGAGTGCATGTAGTAAAAGTCAGTGAAAGTATATCTATTGCTAATAATGTCTTGTCTTCCCTTCAGGAGGCACTATGGATAAGCTTGTGGAAGTTCTTAAGGAATCTGGTGACTACAAAAAGATCATGGACAAATTGAACGATGAAGGAGTCCTTTCAGAAGAAGATCAGCGAAACTTAAATTCCTCTCAGAATCTGAAAGATTTTGGCAATGCAGCAAAAGTATTTGGGGAAAAACTGAAAGACAAGCCTGTAAAGATTTTGCCAATTTTGAAATCGCTCTTTGATTTATGATCTATACTAAATATAACAGAAGAACATTTGCTAAATGGCCAAAGTGGTTGAAAGGAAGATGACATGACCTACAGTTTTGCTAAGAGTAAAAGAAAAAATCTGCAAAGAACTATTTCTAAGGTTAGGAAACCTACAGATTTCTCCATGGGGTAAAAGTACTTTTGAATGGTTTTCTTTAAGCTTTAAGTGTTGTGTCCAGAAATTTCAATTTTAGGGGGGTGGCCACTCCTACTTAGAATTGCATTGCTGACAAGGTCTTAAATCTATCATTGACCGTGGGCTTAATAGAAGTATTTACTATAATATGCTGCACAGCTTGTATATCTTTGATATGAGTAGAAGTTAAAAAGAGAATCTGTCACTTTATTCATTGAAGAAAAAACGAAAGGTTCTTATGAAAGCTTACCCACCTCACCTCTTAAACTCATCCTTGTTGTACTCCCTCCCACCCTGTTCTTGTGTTGGAGCCATTTCAAATACCTGGAGCTTTTGGAGATGAAGGAGCCTGTGTCCTTCTCTGTACCTCCAAGGATGCAGTGTTTTGGCTGCCAATCATTTGCCTGAAAACACTTTTCAAATGAGGCAGGGGACCAGGCCATCAACCATGGGTAAACTCCAAGACTGTCTGACATGAAGCTAACACAGGAGTAGGACCCATGGTTTTGATGAATAAATGTAGCTTTGGGGAAGGCGAGCGTAAGTGGTAATGGGGAGTGAGCTGTTGGGAGAACCTGTCTCTCTTCCCTGAATGGGCAAACTGACCAAATCTCTAAAAGCTCAAGGTTTAGGCAATCTTTAAATGATCCACCTTAATAAGATTGAGAACTTTAGTTGTTTTATTTGCACTAACCGGGCAAGATTTTAGGGGTCTACCCCCTTCTTCTAAGCCCAAGATAACCTACAGTACTGTTTAAGGGTAATGTGAAGGTTTTTTTTTTTAGTAATTTTCATTTTTTAATAAAAAATAAACATAAATTGTATCAACCTACTGTAGGTGGGTTTTGTTCCGGGAAGAGAAGCCAGAGATAACACAATAAGGGCCATAAATATACATCATTGGTTAACCCAAAATCAACAGTCCGGATTCTTTCTCTCTTTAGATGCCGAGAAGGCATTTGACAGACTAGCTTGGGATTACCTAGAGGCAGCTTTGATTGGCATTGGACTGCCTTTGCGCTTTTTGACCTATATTATGTCTCTATATAAAGCCCCCACAGCGCGAGTGCGAGTGAACGGACACCTATCAGACTCTTTTCTGATCAGCAACGGGACCAGACAGGGATGCCCACTGTCACCTCTCTTATTCATTCTTACACTGGAACCCTTATTGAATTGCATTAAAGATAATGCCAACATTAAAGGGATTTTGATCAATGGCAAAACGCATAAAGTGGCAGCCTTTGCTGACGACATACTGCTTTTCCTGACAGATCCTCATATCACGATACCTAATTTGTTACAGGATTTCAAATTATTTCAGTATTTGGCTAACTTAAAAATTAACTTTTCTAAATCCCAAGCGCTTAATGTATCATTAAAACCGGAGGTGGTTAAACAAGCGACATCAAATTTTCCCTTTACCTGGCAACGAGAAACTATCACTTATTTAGGTATCCAACTACCATCCCATCTTACCGAACTATATGCAACAAATTTTACCCCTCTTACGTAACATTTCCAAAGACCTTCAGACGTGGAATAAACCTTGGTTCTCTTGGTTTGGTAGAGCAGCCATACTTAAGATGAACGTGCTCCCCAGAATATTATATTTACTACAAACAATACCAATTCAATTACCAAATTCATTCTTTCAATCATATAAAACGCTCTGCTCCTCTTTTCTTTGGTATAATAAACGCCCAAGAATCAGCTTCACCCAACTCACTATGCCCAAGAAGAATGGAGGTATTGGATTACCGGATATTTCTCGTTACTACAGGTCTTGCCACCTAGCCAGATTAGTAGACTGGACCACGAATCACATTCGTAAGATCTGGGTCGGTTTGGAGGCTGATTTTTCGAAGATACCACTTTCCACCTCCCCATGGCTGAAAACCGCCCATGTCCCTTCTGAATTTCGGATGCACCCACTTATAGGTCCCACTTTACGATGTAGCGCGCAAGTGTTTCAGGAAAAAGTACTTTCTTCCTCTCCGAGCCCTTTCACTCCGATCAAATTGAACCCGTACTTTATTCCAGGGATGTCTACGACCTTTCTCGCTGGGTGTAAACGGGAAGATAACCTAACAGTACGTCAGTTTCTCAAAGATTCTAAGCTCTGATCTAGAGAAGACATTACAAAGGCATGGCCAGCCCTTACCTTAACGCCTTGGATGTATAGACAAATCCACCATTTTCTACGTAACTCCCCACATCTAAAGGATTATTCAAGACCGCTTACTGCTTTCGAAAAACTCTGCTTTACAGATCTCCCACAGAGGCATGTAATATCCAAATTATATTCCCTATTGGAAAGTTCCAATACATCTCACTCACTGAAGGCCTGTGCAGCCTGGCAGCATGATCTAGAAATTTCAATCTCACCAGAGGAATGGAACCACATTTACGATCACATGCATAAAGGTTCCATATGTGTTTCTACACAAGAAAGCAACTACAAAGTTTTTTCCAGATGGTACAGAGTTCCATCTGTGATTCATAAATTTGATCCTAAAGTGCCAGATTTATGCTGGCGATGCTCCCAGGCAAACGGTACTCTTCTACATATATGGTGGGAATGCCCGCTGCTGCAGCCCTTCTGGAGAAAAGTTTTGGACACCATTAGACAAGTAACCACTTACACCCTAGACTTTACACCAGCACAATGTCTACTCCATCACTCCTCCCTTCCGGTGAGGATTTACCGTAAGTCCCTTGCATTACACATGTTAAATGCGGCAAAGCAGTGTATCCCTGTTCATTGGCGATCAGCCTATATTCCCACCGTACGAGAGTGGATTCTTAGGATCCAGAGGATTGCTGAAATGGAGGAACTGATCTCAGTGGCAAAAGATCACCCCGAGCGATTCAGGAAGACTTGGGCTTGTTGGACCCATTTCCAATCTACTGATACTTACCTTGGCTTGCTGAAGGATTGAACGAGAAAGACTTGGAGACACAGAAGGCCTCTAGAACTTTCACCTCGGCAATAACTCCATTAACGGTCATTCACTGAATTATATCGCTAATTAAAAAGATGGAATTAGATACAGCCAGGCTGTTACTAATAGATGTAACTGGTTTGGTTATGCTTATTTAAATATGAACCTCATCATCCAACCACTTCCCCCCCTTCTCCCACCCCCCCCCCCCTTTTTTCTTTTTTTTTTCTCTCCCTCTCTCTCTCCCCATTCCCCCCTTCTATTTGTCATGTGCGTCTCCTCCCACCTCATTTTGATATCTCATCTCATATTCTTCCTCCATCCCCACGCTCCTCTCTTTCTTTTCTTTTCTTTCTCTCATTTACACCCTCTTTTCTCATAGTCACGGAACACTCATAGCTATACAGATGTAACAATATTCTACAACAGTAGCCCACATTTTTTAGAGATGGAAATATATGTCATAGATGCCTTGAGAGGATACTTTTGTCGACCACTTCAGAATCCGCTTATGTGTACTCTCCTTACATAGAGCCTAGTGTATACCATAATTATCTAAATTACATGCTACTGTCAGTATTGCTATGGTTACATCTATCACTTTTGCCTTACTGTGGAACTCCGTCCTCTGATGTTCTACAAATTAATATATTGTCTTGATCCCGTCTGCGTTACGGGAGAACGTATAAGAAATTTTGCACGGACTGCGATCCGTATCTGTCTATCATTTGTTTACCTTTCATACTTCAATAAAACGTTTTTGGAAAAAAAAAAAAAAACCTACTGTAAATCATTTTATCATTGCATACTAATGTGGCCTTTAAGGTGCTAAACAGATATTTCCATACACAAATAGCTAAATTATAATTCTTTACAATGTCTATTAAAATTGTACAAAAACACACTGGAGTTGATTTATTAAAACTGGAGAGTGCAAAATCTGGTACAGCTGTGCATGGTAGCCAATCAGCTTCTAACTTCAGCTTATTCAATTAAGCTTTGACAAAATAACCTGGAAGCTGATTGGTTTCTATGCAGAGCTGCACCAGATTTTGCACTCCAGTTTTAGTAACTCAACCCCATTCTTTCTGTCCTCTAGCCAGGAGCGTAGCATGTACAATATGTAAAATCACAATGCCTTCCATGAAGGGACTTCTCCCAAGTGTCCAGAGGATTATTTTTCTTGACTCCAGCTGGATTATTCTTTTGTGTTACACACATAAAGCTTCTTCGTCTTCATATACAAGCAAAGAAAATATATCATTATAACATGTGTTGTCCACTTAAATCTTCTGAAACATATTCATTCATTTAAATTTGATTTGTTCATTTATAAAACTGTTTATTTCAGCCCACCAATATATGTAAAATACACGATGTGGCCCCCATATTAAAAAGTTTGGAGACTCCTGAATTGGAAAGTAGAACTTGATGGATACATGCTCCTTTCCTTACAGCTAAATGTCTCTATGTCCTTTGGAGGAACCATAACTATGCACTTACAGCTATATTTACAAATCTAGCTCTTCCATAAGAAAATATAGAAACATTTTTCCTCTTTGGATTGGAGTTCTTCTTTAAAAAGACAATCATCGACCTGACACTGGTAATCCCCCTTTGTAATATTTTGGTGGGTGGAACTGAAATGTCTCTTCAGGTGCTTATGCACATATTGTTCTGTACCAAGTAAATGCCAGGTGTCAGGGATCCCGGCTCCGTCTGCCGCAATCGCGGCTCTGTCCCCCGCGCATGCGCATTGGCGGCAGATCACGCCGGGACACAGGAACTAGGTCCCGGCGAGCCGCGGCTGACAGGACGCCGCGCATGCGCAGTAGAAACCGCGGGCGCGCCTCAGGCGTCCAATGACAGCCGGGGGCGCGTCCTAGCCAGCCAATGACA